TCTCTGCCTGTCTCACTGGGATCTCTGCCTGTCTCACTGGGATCTCTGCCTGTCTCACTGGGATCGCTGCCTGTCTCACTGGGATCGCTGCCTGTCTCACCGTGGTCTCTGCCTGTCTCACCGTGGTCTCTGCCTGTCTCACTGTGATCTCTGTCTGTCTCACTGTGATCTCTTTCTGAATCACTGTGATCTCTGCCTCACATGGGATCTCTGCCTGTCTCACTGGAAACACAGTATCAATGCTGGTATGACTGGAATCTCATTCTCCTTCCTATTTTTTTAGGTTATTTTGTGGTATTTTTCAGGACGTGGAAGTGAAACAGGAGAAACTGGAGGAGTTTGATTTGGACAATATCTCTGTACCCTCTGAGTCTGATGAAGAGGATGATCTTACCCAGTACACCTTCCCGAAATATGCTGCTACATACTTCCAGGGCTCTGCGACCCACACGCACGTTCAGAAAGCTCTCCGGCATCCCCTGCTCTACCATGAAGATGAAGTTGATATTGCGGTAAATTAACTCTTCCCACGGGAAAGAGAATTTGTCTCATTGACTTCAGAGTGACTACATTATTAAAAGAGCAAATGGGCAACATTTTGTAGCATGTTCATTCACAGGACTGCTTTCACTGAGCTCTGCTAAAAAAAAGAGAAAGTCATGAGAGTGAGAACTATCCACATCATTGAAATCTCATGTTGATAGAAAATGGTTTTACTGAAGCCAATACTGACAGGCCCGTTAGCCTGATCTCGGTCGTTAGCAATATTTTAGAGACCATTATTAGGGATGAGATTGCAGAGCACTTGGAAATGCATGGCAAAACAAGGCTGAGTCAGCACAGCTTCATCAAGGGGAGGTCACGCCTGACAAATCTGTTAGAATTCTTTGAGGAGGTAATGAGCAAGTTAGACAAAGGGGAGCCAGTGGATATGATCTATTTGGATTTCCAGAAGGTCAATGACAAAATGCCACACAGACGCTGTGAAATAAGATAAGAATGAATGGTGTAAGGGAAAAGATATTGGCTCTCGATAAAGGATTGGCTGACCGGCAGAAAACAGAGACTGGGGAACTTTTTCAGGATGGCAGCCAGTGACCAGTGGAGTTCTGCATGGGTCCATGTTGGGACCACAACTGTTCACATTATCCGTTAGTGATCTGGATGCAGGTAGAGAGACAGGTCATGTTGAGGAAGAGGGGAAGTTGCAGAAGGACTTGGACAGGCTAGGAGAATGAACAAAGAAGTGGCAGATGGAACACAATATGGGAAAATATGAAGTTATGCACTTTGGTTGGAAGAGTAGAGGCATAGACTATTTTCGGAAAGGGGAAAGACTTTGGAAGTATGAAGCACAAAATGGTTTGGGAGTCCTAGGTCAGGATTTTTTTAAGGTTAACATGCAGGTTCACTTGGCAGTTAGGAAGGCAAATGCAATGTTAGCATTCATTTTAAGAGGGCTAGAATACAAGAGCAGGGAGGTACGGCTGAGGCTGTATTAGGCTCTGGTCAGACTGCATTTGGAATATTGTGAGCAGTTTAGGGCCCCAAATCTAAGGGGGAATGTGCTGGTGTTGGAGGGGGTCCAGAGGGGGTTTACAAGAAAAATCCTGGGGATGAAGGGCCTGTCATATGAGGAGCAGTTGAGGACTCTGTGTCTGTACCCAATGGAGTTTAGAAGGAAGAGGGGGATCTGATTGAAACTTACAGAATTCTGAGAGGCCTGGATGGATTGGACATGAAGAAGCTGTTTCCACCAGTAGGAGAGACTAGAACCCAAGGGCACAGCCTCAGAATGAAGGGACAATCCTTTAGAACTGAGATGAGGAGGAATTTCTTCAGCCAGAGGGTGGTGATTCTGTAGAACTCATTGCTGCAGAGGGCTGTGGAGGCCGAGTCATTGAATGCATTGAAGAGAGAGATAAATAGGTTCTTGATTAGTCATGGGATCAAGGGTTACAGGGAGAAGGCTGGAGAATGGAGCTGAGAAACATATCAGTCTTGATCAAATGGGACAGCAGGCTTGATGGGTCAAAATGCCTACTTCTGCTCCTTTTTCTTATGGTTTTATGGTTTACAATAGACACCTTTAGGATCTTGTTTGACTATCCATTGGAAAGAGTGAAGGTAGTAATGTTTATTGATTGATGGCACAGAGTTGGAAAATAAATGACATTTAAGAATTTTTCCATTAATGGATATATCCTCAGGTACATTTTCTTCCTAACGTATGAAATGTGTCCACCCTAGGCTTCTTTGGCAGTCTGGAATATTATTCTGAGGTTCATGGGTGATCTGCAAGAGCCCAAGACTTTTACGCAGAACAATAGGACACGCGACAGCTCCACCATTACAGAGATTTATGACTCCCAGGTCAAGAGGTCTAAGGAGCACTTGGACATGAATCAGCCTATGGGTCAGGTACAGTGAACCAGTAACTCTTTAAGTATTGGCACATTGACATTCCTGTTGCCTGTGATACTGAGCAAAGTTGCATGGAGTTTGTACACGAGGAACATACTCATTCCTCAAATCAGACAGCCATCCTTATCCTGTTGATGGTATCCTTAAAAGAGGTTGTTGACTTGCTCGCTGAGCTGGCTTGTTTTTGTTCAGATGTTTCATCACCATGCTAGGTGACATCATCAGTGAGGCCTCCAATAAAGTGGTGTTGTTCCACTCTGCTTGGAATTTATACTGTTTGGTCTGTTATGGTTTGTTGATTGCATTATGGGTTGAGAGCCATAGGGGGTTGTTTCTCAACCCATAATGCAATCAACAAACATATAGAATTGGATTCTATTTACAAACCCACACAGATCAAAACCGGAAATGACACTACTCACCATAACAGACCAAACAGTATAAATTCCAAGCAGAGTAGAATAACATCGCTTCATCAGAGACCTCACTGATGATGTCACCTAGCATGGTGACGAAATGTCAACGAGAACAAGCCAGCTCGGCGAGCAAGTCAACAACCTCACCCACAACCCGAGCTACAGATCTTTGCTAAAACCTTAAAGGTGTCTTTATATTGACCAATGCTGGCTGTAATATCTGCTGATCATCTCATCTAGGATGTTATCCAGGGTAATTTAGACTGAGACTGTAGCATGTTACTGGAACATGCCCGTTAAAATTTTGTTTTGCTCATACAAGGGACGTAGAGATCACTAGGCCAGCATTAATAGCCCATCCCTAATTGCCCAGAGGGCGGTTAAGAGTCAACCACATTGCTGTGGGTCTGGAGTCACATGTGGGCCAGACCTGTTCAGGATGGCAGTTTCCTTCCCTAAAGGGTATTTCTACAACAGTCGATGCTAGCTGCACGATCGCCATCAGTAAGGGTGGCTTTGTCTCAGTCTGTATTTCAACCTGACAGCATTAGCCCAGGTGACTCTTTGACTGACATTTCTACTATGCCAGCATTAGCCCTTACCTCCTGCCCCTGCTTTCCTCTGTGGAAAGTTTTGGAAGTTATTTCTGCCTGCAATTTTAACCAGGAGAGATCTCCTGGAATCCTGGAGATCCCTTGGAGCCCCAGCAACAAACAGAGGGAGCTCACATTGACCGTTGTCGCTGTTTGTGAATGTTTCTGATGCAGCCTAAGGGCCACGCTCGTCTCTATAACAACAGTCCCTGTGTTTATCTCAGTGTTAATCACTTAAACACCCATAATGATGGGACAGGGCTCCACGTAGCTCCATGAAAAGGAGGGACGTGCAGGGTTATGGGGAGAAGGCTGGAGAAAGGCAATCACTGAAGTGCTCATTCAGAGACCCAGCAGAGATACAATGGGCTGAACGGTCCCTTTCTGAGCTGGAACATGCTGGGATTCTGTGAATTTTCAGATGATACACAGGAGCAAGTCAGGGGTGGACGGAGGAGGGTCAAGGGTCACTGTTGTTGAAATTGTCTCCCAAGGCTCGTTTATAGCATTGCTCTAGGTGTAGCAGCTCTCTCCGTCACTACCCTTAAGCAGGACCTTCAGCTTCCCTTCTTCCAGCACACCCCTGACAGTGACTGCCCCCTCTCCCAGGTCCATCCTCCCATCTTGTGGCCTGTCCCAAAATCAACTAATGCACCCGATTCCCCGAACTCCATCCTATCCTGTAATTGCCATTTAATAGGGCCCCCCAGCTGCTCTGGAGATGTGCTGGAAGGAGACGGGTTGCGGAATTGGTCAATGAATGATGTGGCCCAGGTGTTAAGTTTGTTCCCCACTGGCTCTTGAAATGGTGTTTTCTTTCATCAGTTTCCCAGCTGACCTTTCAGCCAATTGCCCCCTCCGCCCCTTACACCCCCATTCTGAAAGTGGCAGCAAGGCCGTACTCAAGATAGAAACTCATGGTGTAATTGACTGACCTTCCTCAGATTGCACAGGTCTGATTACAAACTCAATCAGCCCTCTCTCTAGAATATAAGCCTAGAGATGTTACACTGACTAAGCTGTAACTTGCTCACGGCGACAAGGTCTTCCATTTCCTAGACTTAGTAGACTTGAGAAGGTGGTTTTGAGCTGCCTTCTTGACCCACTGCACCCCGTGTGACCCAGTAGGAATTTAGACCCAGCGACACTGAAGGAACGGCGATGTATTTCCAAGTCAGTTCATTGACCTGCTATGCTAACCTGGTCCTTTTGGTTAATGCCACAGGGTCCACAGCATCAAGCACATGGACAGGACATATATTCGGGTGAGAACTCTATCACGGGTAGACCGATGTCAAACCTGGAGAAACTCCACTTCATCGTCGGGAATGCCATTGCCCGACCTAACATCAGGTAATCCTTGCTTGCGGTGCGAATGAAGTGTTTCACTCTTGGTCTCTTTCCCAATGTTATTTGCATCATGGAATAGGCAGGGCGCGGGTGGAATTTTTAGCAACACCTGAATGTAGCTGCCGCAGTGGGTTGTGAACTCATATCCATTTGAGGGAAGGCAGTAATGGCAATGTACCCTTGACTGATAATCCAGAAGCACAGGCTAACAGTCCAGGGGTCATGGTTCCAATCCCAATTTAAAATCAGTTAATAATTCCCGAATTAAAAACAAATCTAATGGTGACCATGGGTCCATTGATGATTCTTATTAAAAACCCATGTGGTTTGCTAATGCTGTTTAGAGAAGGATATCTGGCCTACATTTGAGAGCAGACCAACAATAGTGGCATAACCTGGCATCGATCTGGGCACTGGACAAATGACAAAAACAGCTCTGTTGACCCTGCAAAGTCCTCCTCACTAACATCTGGGGGTTAGTGCCAAAATTGGGAGAGCTGTCTCACAGACTAGTCAAACAACAGCCTTGACACAGTCATAATCACGGAATTGTACCTTACAGACAATATCCCAGACACCACCATCACCATCCCTGGATATGTCCCTATCCCACCGGCAGGACAGAGCCTGCAGAGGTGGCAGCACAGTGGGATACAGTTGGGACAGTGTTGCCTACATCTATTTGTGAATGGTGGTGGACAATCAAATAACTCACAGAAGGAAGAGGCTCCACAAATATCCCCATCCTCAATGATGGAAGAGCCCAGCACATCAGTGCAAAAGATAAGGCTGAAGCATTCGCAGCAATCTTCAGCCAGAAGTGCCGAGTGGATGATCCATCTTGGCCTCTTCCAGTGGTCCCCGGCATCACAGATACCAGTTTTCAGCCAATTCAATTCACTCCAAGTGATATCAAGAAACGGTTGGAGACACTGGATAATGCAAAGGCTATGGGCCCTGACAACTTTCCGGCAATAGTACTGAAGACTTGTGCTTCAGAATTTGCCGCTCCCCTAGCCAAGCTGTTCCAGTTCAGTTACAACACTGGTATCTACCCGACAATGTGGAAAATTGCCCAGGTATATCCTGTGCACAAAAAGCAGGACAGATCCAACCCGGCCATTTACCGCCCCATGAGTCTATCCTCGATGATCAGTAAAGTGATGGAAGGTGTCAGTGACAGTGCTATCAAGCAGCTCCTGCTCAGCAATAACCTGCTCAGTGATGCCCAGTTTGGGTTCCACCAGGGACACTCAGCTCCTGGTCTCATTACAGCCTTAGTTCAAACATGGACAAAAGAGCTGAATTCCAGAGGTGAGGTGAGAGTGACAGCCCTTGACATCAAGGCTGCATTTGGCCAAGTGTGGCATCACGGGGCTCTAGCAAAACTGGAATCAGTGGGATTCGGAAGCAAAACTCTCTGATGGTTGGAGTCATACCTGACACATAGGAAGATGGTCGTGGTTGTGGGAGGTCAGTCATCTCAGCTCCAGGACATCTCTGCAGGAGTTCCTCAGGGTAGTGTCCCAGGCCCAACCATCTTCAGCTGCTTCATCAATGACCTTCCCTCCATTATAAGGTGAGAAGTGGGGATGTTCGCCGATGATTGCACAATGTTCAGCGCCATTTGCAACTCCTCAGACTCTGAAGCAGTCCGTGTTCGTATGCAACAAGATCTGGACAATATCCAGGCTTGGGATGACAACTGGCAAGTAACATTGATGCCACACAAATGCCAAACAATGGCTATGTCTATCAAGTGCAAATCTAACCACTGTCCCTTGACACTCAATCATTGAATCTCTCACTATCAATCCCCTGGAGGAGTTACTGTTGACCAGGAACTGAACTGGCTCAGCTCATATAAATACTGAGGCCACAAGAGCAGGTCATAGACCAGGAATTCTGCAACGCTCAACTCATCCTCTGACTCCCCAGACCTTGTCAACCAGCTACAAGGTACAAGTCAGGAGTGCAATGGGTTAAATTCCAATTGCCTGGATGGGTACAGCTTCAACAATATTCAAATGTTTTGACATCATGTGGGACCAAGCAGCCCGCTTGATTGGCACTTTATCCACCAACAATAGACAGTGTAGCTCCATGATGCACTGCAGCAACTCACCAAGGAGCTTGGACAGCTCCTTAAAAGCCATGATCTTCACCAACCAGAAGGAGAGGGGCTCTGGGTATGTTAGAACACCACCTGAGCCACACACCATCCTGATTAGGAACTACGTTACCATTCTCTCACTGTTGCAAGGCTCAGAATTCCCTCCCTCGCACCCCTGTTACTATGTGCAAGGACTATAGCACTTCAAGATGTCCAGCAACTAGCAGTTATGTTAAATGACACATCATCCTATAATTGCAACCTTCAAACACAGTGTGTAACTTGACACATGATTCTGCATTTGGACCGGATTTGCTGAATAACCCTGACTGTGCTGGGACTTACCCTGGAAACCGATGTAAGGCTTGCAGCATGATCCATAAGCGTGGGCAATGTGATGTATATTCACATGTGAGGTTCTGATCGTTGTAGGTGAACAGAATTATATCTTTCTCGTTGAGGATAGGGTTATGTAGATTTCCAATCCTAGCACTGTCCCATGGCAATGCCTTGACCAATCAGAGTCTACCTCCATGGCCTGAGTTTCATCAGCTCACTCAGACTGATACTTAACAGTTTCTGCTGCTCCTCCAAGACAACCACAGTCCAACCAATCAGCACTCTCTGCTTGTGTTGTATAAGTTAGTGTTCCCTTTCTAACTTGGCTTTCTTGCAATCTAGCCCTGATGACTGTACGGAATGAAACCAGCTCTTTGGACAAACTACGAAGGCAGTCCCACTCACATGCCTTTTTCCTGGGGAGCCGGATATGTCCTTTTGTTACGCAGCTGTCCAATTATCTTTGGAAAATAATGATTGAAAATTTTCCTCCAACTGTCTGTAAGGCAGCCTCTTCCAGATCCTAACTGCTCTCTGTGTAAAAATGCTCTTTTGAATGCTGTCTCTGGTTGATTTGTTATTCACTTTAGATCGGAGTCTTTTGATTCTCAGCTTTTCCACGGTGTGTGTGATGTAGGCACCTCATTGTTTTGAACTTCTCTAGAAAATCCTACATCAACCTTGTCTGAGGTGAATAGCCTTAGCTGATCAAATACCCCACCCCACACCCCCATAACTGAAGTCTCTCCTCAACAAAAGTATTTTCTGCACCCCCCCCCGCCAATGCCTTCACATCCTTCCTGTGGTATGGTGTCTAGAATTAGAATTGTAAAATCATTACAGTGTGGGAACGAGCCATTTGGCCCATCAAATCCACAACAACCCTCTGAAGAGCATCCTACCCAGACCCAACCACCCACCCACCCACCCTTTCCCATGGCCAATCCACCCTAACCTGCACATCTTTAGATTGTGGAAGGGAGCCCACACAGACAGTAGCCTGAGGGTGGAATTGAACCAGGATCCCTGGTGCTGTGAGGCAGCAGTGATAACCACTGAGCCACCCTTCACCCCTTGGACACCCCAGTGCCATTGAAGCCACACCAGTGTTTTATAACTGTTCACCAGACTTTCCCTTGGTTTTGTACGCTGTACCTCTGTTTGTAAAGCTCAGCTCCCATATATCTTATTCGCCCCTTTCTCAACCTGCCCTGCAAGGGGTTGTAGATATCTTCCGCAGTCTCTCTGGGCCTGCACTCCCTCCAGAATTCTAGATATTTTTCTAATCAACCTGTTCAGAGATGTTGTTACACAGCTGTCTGGGGCAGATGAACCCAGACCCCCTGGATCAGAGGTGGGCTCACTACTGTTTCACTACAAGAGCCCCCCTACCACGGCCTCTCTGGAATGGTACCCTGTATTTTATATTATCTCTCTGTGCTCTTCCTCAGAGGGAAATCTGTCCGTATTCCAGCTCTGATAATTGTAACAGTCCTCCTCTTGTCTTTGTTCCCTTGTGGTTTGCATTCCAATGAATTGTTTCATTGGGCTGAAGCGGGTGCTAACAGCAGGGCTCCTGGGAGGACGCCCAGTCCCCACATCACGGCATGAAGCCCACGCCGTCATTGTGTCAGCTGGGCCACTGAAAGAGCATCGGATGCCAGGAACGTGTTGCCCCGATCCTCCTGACTTGTTCCTCTCCATGTTGTAATTCCGATTGTTCCTGCTGCAGGGATGAGATTTACTGTCAGATCTGTAAACAGCTGACGGCCTGCTCTAACAAGAATGTTAGAGCCAGAGGATGGATTCTGCTGTGTCTTTGCGTTGGCTGCTTCCCACCCACTGATGGGTTTATAAAGGTTAGTGTCACCGTGTCCCCTTTTGTTTTGTCCCGCGCTTGCTCTCTGCGTTCAGTTTTATGCGGGGATCTCCCTGCTTCGCCCTCAGGCTGGCACTACCCCCATTGTCATGCAGCCTGTGGACCAGGAGGCTAGTTGGTGAAATAAATGCAGATAGGAATTGGAAATTGATTTGCCATTTGTTTGTGGGCAGCTCCTTTTGGGAATTGGCTGACTGATCTTTGGCCATTATAGGTGACCCACTAGATTGGGTGAGTGGAATCATTCCTGTTGCCAATATGTTATGGCAGTTAAACCGACATGGAAGGAAAGGCAGCACACCCCTTTCGTTTTTGGGACTCTTTCCAACTTGACTGATGGTCGAAGTTTGAAGCCACAGGGATCTTGTGTTTGACCCTAATTGGCACATTATTTGCCATTGTCCTTCAGACAAAATGGAGAGCAGTTTAAAGCCCTACTTGAACTGATGATGCTTTGAAATGACAATCCCAACTTGAATTGGAAAGTCTGCCAATTCCCTGGCAAGTTGCACTTTCCATATTCCTGGGCTTGGCACAATTCCTTGCTCATTGCAAATGCCAAGCCCAGATTCCCCTTCGCTCCTGATGGAGTGGCAGCTTTGCAGGTCTGTCCCTGTAATTGTTCCCCTTGGAGATTTCAGACACATCCCTTTATCCATCAACAATGGATTGCATAGTGGCTAGCATTGCTATCTTACAGCGCCAGGGACCCAGGTTCAATTCCCCTCTTGGACACCTGGAGTTTGCACATTCTTCCTGTGCCTGCGTGGGTTTTCTCTGGGTGCTCCAGATTCCTCCTGCAGTCCAAAGATGTGCAGGCTAGGTGGATTGTCCATGGGGAGTTTGTTAACAATGAGAGAGAGCCTGTGTGCTGCATATTTAGTTTATTCAGAGATGGCAAGAACTGCAGATGCTGGAGCCAGAGATAACACAGTGTGGAGCTGGAGGAACGCAGCAGGATAGGCAGTATCAGAGGAGCAGGAAAGTTGGCGTTTCGGGTCAGGACCCTTCTTCAGGGTCAACTTTCCGGTTCCTCTGATGCTGCCATATTTAATATATTGTACTGAGATACAGTGAAAAGTATTGTTTGGCATGCTAACCAGACAAACCACACCTTATGTAAGTGTGCAGAATATTTCCTGCGTCCTTTTCCTGATGAAGGAGGTTTTTGTATTTGATTTGTGTTTGTTTTATCAGTATTTGCGTAATTTCATTCACAATGGGCCTGAGGGCTATGTTGCGTACTGTGCTGAACGTCTGAGACGCACCTTTGCAAATGGGGCTCGGAAACAGGCACCGAGTTACCTGGAGCTGGAGGTATGGACACGGGGCAGGGAGGCGTCACTAAAGAGTGGAGCAGATAGTGAGTGTCAAGCTCAGTGAGACCTCCTTGATTTCGTTTGTGGACTGGGCCCATGGGCTGGGGCACTGGGCTCTGTACAGAGGGCTGAGATACTGAGGGCAAACTGACAGTCTCTGCAGATTGGGAGAGGTAGCTGGAAACAGTCAGCTGACATCAGTGATGATCACATGACAGAGGCCTGTGCTGACAGACTATTGGATGAACAGCATCATCAGTCTCAGAAACACTACCAGAAGTTGCTGGAAAAGCTCAGCAGGGCTGGTGGCATCGTGAAGAAAAAAAAATCAGAGTTAAGGTTTCGGGTCCGGTGACCCTTCCTCGGCGTTATCAACCTGCCCAGATCCCAGCGAGGTTCTCCTCCAGGATCGGACACATCGCTGTCAGAATAGACCATCCCACCCCTGGGGTGGGGGAGGGGTCCATCACTGTAGGCTAGAGGTTCCAGCAGCTGGGGTGGGGAATGGGCACTGGAACTGAGGTCAGTGCAATGGTGGGGGAGGAAGGGGGTGGGTCAGTGTGGGGGCAGGGGTCGGTGTGAGTGGAGTCAGGGGTCAGCATGAGGGGGGTGTCAGTGTGAGGGGATCGGTGCAAGGGGGCTGAGGTGAGTGGAGTCAGTGGTGTTGGTGTGAGGAGATCAGTGTGAGAGGAGTCAGGGGACTTGGAGTGAGGGGTGTGTTAGTGTGAGGGGGTCGGTGTGAGGGGGGTGTCGGTGTGAGGAGGGGTTGGGGTGAGGGGGGTGTCGGTGTGAGGGGGTTTGGGGTGAGGGGTTTCAGGGTGAGTGTGTGGGAGCAGTGGTATGTGAGCTGTAGAATGTTCTTTTTCACTTTTCCCACAGGCCACTAAACATAAAGGTCCCATCAAGGTGATGGTGACCCTGATGAGTAGATTGAGCTATTCAATCTTCATTGATTCAGCGTCTACAGCCAATGAACTTTGTAAAACAATCACAAGCAAGATTCAACTCAAGGACTCCTTTGGGTTCTCCATTTACATTGCACTGTATGACTCTGTAAGTTACAACGGGCTACAATCAGTTTTGTGTTGTCTGTGTGTGTGTGTCTGTGCATGTGTGGGTGGCTGTGGCTGTGTGTGTGTGTGTGTGTGTGTGCGCGCGCGCGCCTGTGTGTCTGTGCCTGTGTGTGTGTGCGATGGATGAGCAGGCCGGGGGCGTGTGTGTGCGATGGATGAGCAGGGCGGGGGTGTGTGTGTGCGATGGATGAGCAGGGCGTGTGTGTGCGATGGATGAGCAGGGCGGGTGTGTGTGTGTGCGATGGATGAGCAGGGCGGGGGCGTGTGTGTG